GATGAAGCAGAATAGAAAGCACGACGCGACAAAGAATCTGGCCGAAATGAAGGACACCGGGATAATCTTCCTCAATCGTAAATCGCTCGGTTACTACTACAGTAAAGTAACCCAGAACTGAACTAGTGATTTACAATGAGGGAGGACTGGAATAATTTAAAAAAATATTTTTTAAAAAAAATTTCAATTAAAAGCCCTTAACTATATTTAATAAAAAGAGAATCCAAAAACTTTAAAAATTCATTACTCTTCCAGTCCTCTTTATAAATTATTTTTACTTACCTCATTAATATCAATATAAAATAAATTATAAGGAATAACAGTGCATAGAATTTTAATTATCCCCCTTTATAATAAGTCTAAAAAATAATATCATATTACTTTCTCTCTCATGAAGGATAATTTTAAAAATACCCTTCAAATATTATTTAAAAAGTCCCACAATGATTTATACATAGGACCAAATGAACATTCTATAATATGATTTATAAATAGGATTGAAGGAAATACAATTCAAAAGCATTAAATTGAAATTAAAATAGAGAGTAAAATTAAAATTGATGTGACCTTTAAATGTTTTTAAATTTTTATGAGTTCTTCTCTGTGCTTTTAATTTCAATTAAATTTTCAGAATTTTTGAGTTTATTTTTTATAAACTATAATCAATAAGTTTTAACTGAAATTTTTCCTTTTTTTTTTTTTGAGGGTGAATGACACAAAGATTGCAAAGATAAATGACAAAAATCATTCTCACTCGTGGCTTTCTGGCTCGTTCTACGTTTCACAAGGTTGAGTCCGAGACAAATGATAAAACAGTATAATTATTTTGAAATTCTAAGAAATTTTATGGTATTATTTTTTATTAAATAAGAGCATATTGTGTATCATCATCTCGTTCAGATTGTTTTTCAAAAACAGATTTAATGTCTTAGAAATACATAAGCAAAGTTATTATTTCATTTTCTAATGAAAAAGTTATTGAGTTTTCAAAATTAAACTTGATTGATAAAATAATTTCTATAACTTAGTTGTCATTTGCTAATTATAATCGCAAGACTATTGAAGCTTTCATTTTCTAAATTGAAATAATCATTGAGCTTATATGATTAAACTTAACTAATAAAATAATTTCAATAACTTAGTCATTATTTGCTAATATATTTTAGTCACTGGCAAAATTAAAGTTGTTATTTTCTAAATTAGAATAGTCGTTGAGCTTTTAGTATTAAACTTGAATTTTCAAATGAAGGATAATATAGTAATTTAGAAAGAAAACTTAATGTGGTCGACCCACAAGTTATGGGTCAGGCAAGGACAAGTCAAATGAGCTTGCCTTTAAATAGGTAAGAAATATTTTAATCAATTAACCTGCCAAGCCTTTAAATAGGTTAAAAAATTTCTAACCCAATATAATTGCCCCTTGTTGTGAGACCTTTTTTTTTTCTTAATCAATATATTATTTCGATAGTCCTTGAATATGATTCTACCTTCTAGGATTTAGATTTTTTATTTTTATTTTTATGATATTATGTTAACAAATTTTTTGTTCATGTATTTTTATAATTAGCCATCAATCTTTTTTGGTAGACAAGAGTGCAAAGTCCAATTACATAAAAGACTAAACTAGATTAATACTTTTTTAAGCTTAGAAGTGACTTAAAAGATTATGAGAATTTGAAATCCTTAAACATATAAACCCCGATCAATAATGCTTGTCACTTCATGATTAGGTAAAATTAAATGTTGATTGTGCTTTTAATGAGAATCGAAACTTGTTGTGGAGGTTCAATTCATGACCATAATGGCGAGTTCAAAGTAGGTTTTATGTACAAGATATATGATGGAGATCTACTATATGCTAAGCTTTGGGCTTGTGTGTGAGGTCTCAAAATGTTAAATAGGGAGGCACAGTGAAAGATTAAAATTTTTAAAGTCCCTATTTTAATATGAATCAAACGAACTCGTTTAAGTCAAAATGAATAGAAAAGTTACCTTTTAATTCTTTGAAGTTGGTGCATGTTTTTTTCAAGAGTTTGGATCTCGGGAGTTAACAATGAAGATCTGTTCCCTTTACTGGTATCCACACGAGCATCTCTCTAACTCGAATAGCGTGCTAGCGCTCCCAACGTCTGTTCCCTTTTGAATGTTAGTTTTCTTTTCTATAGGATGTTTCGTGGCTCTCAAAGTATTTTTGCCGTTAGAACTTTTCTAACTTTCTCTTCCTTCATAAAGACGTCCCTATTTATATATAGTATATGGATTAGGGTTTTTGTCTTCTACTTAAAGACCCATGAAAATTTAATTAAATTTATGTTATAACTTTAATCCATGATATAATACTTAATTCGAATTTATAAGATAAATTTGAATTATAAAACTGACATAATATTCTTTCATATCATGTTAGTTATTAAATTTAATCTATCATATAAAATTAAATTTAAAACTAACATAACATAACATAATATAATATAATATATATCACATTTAGATATTATATTATACATATATGAAATATATATATATATGCATATATATTTCAAAATATATATATATATATATATTATATTTAATTTTATATATTATATACATATACATACATACATACATACATATATATATATATATATATTTCAAAATATATATATATATATTATATTTAATTTTATATATTATACATACATATACATACATACATACATACATACATACATACATACATATATATATATATATATATCAGATACACACACACATAAAAATATATATATATATATTGAATGTATATATATATATAAATATTTATCAAATAAATATTTAAATATATATATATATATATAAATAATTCATTCACCCTATATTACATTCATTGAATCTAAACATATTCTAGATTCAATGAATTTAGACATTATAGCTCGAGTTAGACTGTTCTTATGTGCAATCTTGTAGACTCATATGAAATTAGTAGTAGGTTAATTACGCTATTAGCTCACTAGTCACAAGTGGCCTCTAGTAAGACATTACAATTACCCAATTCACATGAAAATTGATGATCTGATGTAACTTATCATGCAACCGTATCACATCCCTTTTGTCACGCAATATTTTGGTTAAATGTGAGACATAGAATTGTTATTCTTCTTTACTTGACCGTTACTATCTTGATCTTTGAGTGGACTGATTGTAGCAATGGAAAAACCCTTTCCATTATAGTATGGCCATACATTTTCTCAATCTTACTCATTGAGGGTCCCAGTAATATCTCTCGCTTAATGTGAGGGACAAATTTTATCTTGACTACTCATATTTCTCTGCATGAATATCACTAAACTTAATCATAGCTTTTATAACTACTCGGTCAAAGGTGACTTTTGATTAGGTCAAATTTCAGTGGTCATTATATAGGAATTCATGATGATTTCAGGTCAAAGGGTTTAGTGATATGGTTATATACGAGATAAGCTTATGACTTGTATTATGCAGCTTTCTCATAGTGGGTCGGTCCAGCACCTTGTACTCTTTCAAGTGCTTATGACTTTGATTTGTATCTTTATAATTAATCAAAGTCATACTAGTCTTGTTTCATTTATGACCCCTCATAGATGACCAATCAGGGACATTTAGGATAATCACTATAGTTTGTTTAAGGATACAGTTATCATATTGAACATGCAATTGATATGATAACAAAAAAAATTATTAAATAATAATGTGCATAGTACAATGATTGGCTCTAGGGCACAATTTCTAATACAAAATGGTATGGGATCTTAGTTATCACATACTCATCCTTGGTTTGACTCTTATGAGGCTACTAAAGCTAGCACTGGCAAAACCTCAATCACTCACATGGAGTACAAGATTATTGAAATTAAATCCTTGTTGGCTCATGATTGGATAGTGTTTGTTAAGATGATTTTGCGACATGCCAATGAAGTTGTTGATACACTTGCTAAGCAGGCATTTTTATTTAGTGTTATTGTGTTCTACTCATTGTTTCCTCTACTAAACACTTTTTAGTTTTGCAGCAAGACCATAATACTGCTGTATAGTTTTTGTTTTCCTTGATATAAAAAAAGATCCTAGTCAACAACCCACATTGTATTTATCCATGAAACCTAAGAAAATATAAGATAGAATATAAAAGATGTCTAGAAAGCTTTTACCCAAGTGATTAGAGCCACTCATAAATCTATTGTGTGCCGGAAGTTGTGTGGGTGTGCTAAAAGAAAAACTTCCCCATTACTCACTTGGGAGAGCTCCAAATGTAGGAGTAAAAGTAAGTTAATAAATAGATTTGAAAGGAAAGCGGACTTGTGTGCACACCATTGCCAACATGAGGTAATCATAATTGAAAATAGTTGAATCATAATTGAATCTCCTCCCTCTGCACAAGTTGATGAAGCACTAGGCACTTTTTACCAAAATTATTTTTGTGAAAATAAATATTAATTTATCTAAGATGCTTATCTAAAAACTTTGATTTTTGATTGTTTGAAATTTAAATTTTGAATGATAACAGTAGCAAACTTTCTCAATCACCTGCACCGGCCACTTCCCATTTGGTGTTCATCCTCTCCACTGTTTCAAGCCTTTTTGTTTGTGGTTCAAATCTGAAATCCATCATCATCAAGAGCAAAAATGCCAAAGCCCACTGAAGGTTATGCAATACAAGGGTGTATTATTGTCGTTGATGAGGAACAGCTTTGTGAGGCACTGGTGGAGGGAAATAAAAAAAAACTATGTTCATCACTGTCACTGAAGAGTTTTAGTTAAGGGAAGATCTGGCAAAGAAAAAAAGTTAAAAGGGAAGGAGGGATAAAATGCAAAGGCGACAGAGAGATGGAAGGATAAAGAAGTGAATTCCATGGAATCTGATCAATTCCATGGTTATAGGGATGGAATCCAATTTAGGCTTTTTTGCTAAAATCAGAATTCTTGAGAATTACAATTCCAGTCCGCCAAACATGCTCCAACCCATAATCCATTTTCAATTCTGATTCCACGTTCAAGATTCCTGTCTACCAAACTGCTCCTCATTAGCTCACCACTTGTTCAATACATTACATCAATTCCACATAAGGACATCGTCCCTTGAGTAAAAGGAACTGGTAAAATAAAATGGACTTTCAAATCAGAAGTTAACTCATTTTATTTGCATAGGACCAAAAACCTTTTTTCTTGCCCAGTAATTCCCCGTAAAATTACTATTCAAGACATCGATACCATGTGTTCATCCTCTACTTTCCAAAATTAAGTAAACAGCGGCGCCGATGGTAAATAACACGCTACATATAAAGCTGCATTGTTGCAAGACTGACTAACGTTGATGCCTCGAGAATCAGACAATGACTTCTCAGCATGCCAGCAACGGGTAAGATAACATAGCCTCTAAATTCAACCAGACATTTCGTGGGTGACCTTGAATAGGTAGTGTTATATAGGAGCAACATTTAATCCCAGCCTCATTTTGACATCAGCTTGTGCACAATATGGAGCTCCATCAAGTTTGGTGAGGCATCAGACTCAATTGCATCACTCACCTATTGTCTTTTGTGAGATCTTGACGGACCAATGTCATAATAAAATTTGAGGTATTAAATTGGTAGTTTGGGAAATTCACTTGAAAGGAGCCCGCAACAACTCGAATATAAATGTGCAGAATTGGCAAATGGATGTCAGACGCCATGACTATCTTTGCATCTTCCCAGCAGAATGCAAATAAATTGCAACAGAGACAACACTGAAGACACAATAACAAATATCTTTAGAGATAGAAACAGAAAGAAAAGCACATTTTATACTATTCCACTAAAAACTTACCCTAAGCACATTAAGACTTCTCTAAACTAAAAACGTTAGTACACCAGAGCCATCAGGATCCTATCAATCTCAACATTTTAAATGGACTCGTTCATATCGTGTCGTATATTGGCATTACCCACTATTCACTATTTCATACATAAGCTGCAATTGATGACAAAATCTAAAACATAGACTCATCATACACTGGCACAAAGCAAGCACATTCACAGGATAATTAACAGCATCTTACATTGTGCCAAGGAAGAAGGCAAGGGAGAGATGGAAGCCAAAGAGAAAAACAGAAACCACCGCAGTAAGAAGCATTGCCACTGAAGTAGAATACACCTGCATATAAATTGGGAAGCTGAGGACAAATTGGATTTCCAAAGGCATAACTGCTGTTACCGGTGAGGGCTATGATGATGTTTGAATCATGATATATGATATGCTCATCTAAGAGAAACAATCAACCACGCATCTAGATCCTATTTGATGCAAAATACTCATTATGATAGAGCTTAAACAATAAATATAAAATAACAAGGTCCCTTTGCAAAACTGTTCATAGCATTAAACCCAGCACACAATCGAGTTAAAAAAAAAAAAAACTTAATGCCTGTTTGGATTAGAGTTGAACAAATGAGATTAAAGATAATCATGATTTTTAAGTGAAATTAATCAAAAGTGATGTTAATAAATCATGATTTTTGTTTGGATACATTTTCATATAAGTGACCATGGTAAAGTTCATTCTATTTGGATTGTATTTATCAAAATCACGTTTGGACATACAATTACCTAAAAGGATATAAATTTTATAAAGTTGTTTAATTTTCTATAATTCAAACGAGACCTTAACTAACAATATTCCATGTAGCTAACTCCACCTAATGAGATGACGCTTGTTGTTGTTGTTTTGTTTTCTATAATTAGCATTATCAAATATAATTTAACAAAAATCCAATCGTGATTTTTCACATGCAGAAGCACCTCTTGGTAGCTTCTACTCAATGTGCGGTAGAGAATCCAAATCACGATTGATTAGGGTTTTCAAAAAATTATCCAAACTGTGCAAATGACCTTCATAATTACTTTTATGGGTTTAAATGAGATTATATAGGCTTTCACTACTAAACCAAACAGGCACTTAGACAATGTCTAAATGGAAGTAATGATCAAGATGAAATGAAAAATTATACAAGAAGCCTTATCTCATTGAGATCGGTTATATGGATTGTACAATGCTATTGTGCTCTATTATCAATAACACTATGGATATATTGTTTACCAATAGGTCCAATTTGATTACTTCTTTAACGGTGTGTTTGGATAATGGAATTTGAATTTAGATTTGGATTTGAACCAAATCCCACATTTGGATACACAAATTTATGAATTTGGATTTGAATCCATTATCATTACAATTTCTCTTGTCCAAAGAAGATCATGGGAGGCATCGATAAGGAGAGTGAAATAGATAATCTTAAACCTTACAAAGAGGGGGAGAGGAACACAAAAGAGAACACTTATAGAAGTTGTTGAATGAGACCTCTTGGTTAACAATGTTCCTAAAAGCTTGGTTGATGATAGAACACAAATGCATCGTGCAATTCATATAACGGACCCCACTTAGTGAGATTAGGCTTGTTTGTACCCTAGTTATTAGAAATTCTAGTCACTTTAAACATCTCATTCTTTTTTTGTTTTCATTATTGATACCTTTATGACTCTCATATCTTTTCTCATCTCTCATCAATTAAAAAATAGAGATAAATTTGAAATATGGATTCTAAATGTGATATTTGAAATGCAAGATTTTAAATTTTAAATTTAAATCCAAATCCATTAATCAAAACACTACCTAAGGGTTTTTCTTGTGCCCTATTTGGTAGGAGTGAAATGAGCCCAAGGAAGCGGAAGTGAGACTAGAGGCCCAAACTTCATGTGTTTGGTACGTTTGAATTGGCTTCCTTGTGGAAGTCACTTCCATCAAAATTGATGGAAACAACTTCAATACCAAATCCCATGGAATTGAGTTCCACTTTGGTCAAAGGCTCAAGTTTGACCATTTTGCCCCATCACCATCTCTCCTTATTATTGACACCAAGGACAATGTAGAGGACTATGTCAATGATGGCAATGAATTTGGCGAGGACAATGTCAAATGACAATAACTCTTGCTCTAAATTTGGATTCTTTGATTCTCCATTGGTTATTCAACAAGGGCTGATTCTGGTTCGATTTCTACTTTCACTTCAGATTTCTTATTTTCCCCCCTATTAATTATTCAAGAAGAAAATGCAACTTTTTTCCAATTCATCCCTTCCCATTTCATCCATTGCCTTTTCACTCCATTGTTTCCACAATATCTTAACAGCAGATCCCTATGTGGTTTATTGTTGCTTTCCATGATTGTTGGAAGTGCCAAACATCAACATGACACTCTTTTATGACCATTGCAAGTGTTTTGGTGGGATTGCAGAGGAAGGCTTTCTGGTGCTATCTATTCAATTCTTTGGCGCAATTTATATCTATATGAAATGCTCACATTTTCATGTACACTTATCAGACCTCAGATCTGTCTTGTGAATTGTGACATGAACATTTTTAAGAGCCATTCTTTATGGCCTATCACTTTGCATCAGTATGGCCACAAGGGATAGCAATTTTTTCAAAAATATACAAGGTAAAATATATTTATATAGAATGACATACAAATTAAATATGTGCGTGTATAAATAATATTTTTACCATTACACAAAACCTATAAACAATTATAAGTAAACACGAAAGGAAAAATGAGGATAAAAACTTATCCATGCTCTAAAATGCAACAAGTCAATTAGACAAAAAATATTGGGTGGCATATGTAGCTGCTAAAGAACCATGTTCATCATTGGTGAATAATAAGTGAAGAACCACCAACTATCACTCAAAACCATTGTTCTTAAAGTCTGAACCAATTCAAAGCGAGTGGTGAGTTGATCCTAAAACTTAGTGGGCCATAGAGCTACCCTTCTAATTATGATAATAAAGTATATACAACAGAGCTTCACCTATTTCAAGCTTTTTATTATTTATTTGGATAAAGGGTGCTTACCCTATATGTATATTGCCATATCAAAGGTACCACTGTGCCACGCATGTACCTGTATGGTTATGTCACATATAGCAGATGCAGCATGTGACTTCAGAAGAGCTCATGACTTTTTCAAAGGAATCTCCTCAAGATATATAAAGTGACTGCAATTGGGCAGCTTTGTTGCACCAAAGAGTTTGTTTGTTTGTTATGTGTTTTTCTTAGTGTCTTTCCTAAGGATGATGCCCTATACAGTTACACTCCTCTTTTATTGTACCTATTATTTCTGCTTTCCAATAATTTTTTCTGTTTACTCACCAAACAAATCATATATAGTAGAGACCTCAAAATATAGACAGTCATCAAACCATGTCTTACCTTCACAATGTTGTCAGCGTACTTCATTACCATTGATACAGCAATACCACTGTAAACAGAAACAACCAGGTAAACCCATGCTATCAATGCACCGTAGCAAAATGAAAATTGTATATGAATGTCATAAAATGACAAGAACTTTCGTTTGAGTTCACTTGATAAGAGAATGATTTGTGCAAAATTTTTGCTTAATAGAGGATAGTGGTGATGTGTGTAGCATGTACAATTCAAAAAAGGAGTCATGCTCATGCCAGTTACGTATCAAACTTTGCATTAAACATGACAGGATACTCCCAACTGCACCACGAAACTTCTAATTTTGCTGCAGGCAGTCTCCATCTTTGGGTCAATGTTTATGCTTCTCAAGTGAGAATTGATCTATTAAACAATTTCATCCCTTTTGTCTCGGTGTAATAGAGATTAGTGACAGACTGTTAGAGAAGAAAGAGGATTGGTGATTAGAAGAACAAGAACCTAATAATGACAGTAGCTGTAATCACTAAAGACATTGTTAAGTTTAGCTCACACACTGGAACTTGGTCCTATGTGAATCTACTAATTACTGTTTCATCTCATTGATGTTTCAGACAAGAAAAACTAAAGTCAATGTTGTTTTGCATTTCTAATTTCCAACAAACACAACTCCACTTCCATTATTGCTATCCATCATGTATGTACAGGATCCCGACAGCTAGGCAAACGAAACTATGAACATCAAAGCAAGTATGAACACTAAGGCAAGAATCATAGTTTTCATTGACAATTTATTTGAAGCTAATCAAGAAAAATATACCTGAGTGCATGGTTGAGAATCATGAGAATGGTGATTAAAGAATATCCATGAAAAAAACCCCTGAGTATAAACAACTTTAAGATGTCAGGCAAATATTATTGATGTGAAAAGATAAGCCTTAAAACCACATCAGCAATATGGCAGGTTTATTCTCAATACTTGCTGTTGGTTATATGAATATTTACCATCCAAACATATGTATATACATAATAAATATTGCTCCATTGTCAAAAGAGAAATACCACTATTTGATGATGAACTACAATAACTAGGGGAAAGAACAGCGATACAAGATTAAAATCTCCTGCAAAACCAGAATAAAAAAGAACGCAGATTACTTGTTCATCACTGCATCAAAATCTTGAATCAATATGGCAACAGCATTGAAGATCATGCCAAAAATATACAGCCAGAAGTTCTGAACATTAATGTTTCTGGAAGGCCGCTTCTTAATAATAGCCTGCGAAAGTCATAAACAAACCTGCTAAATACTAATTCTCATTTAGAATCCTCAATTCCATTATTCCATTGCAGCCCTAGTAATTTTAAAACCCTTGTTCTAGGCAGATAAAAACATGTATTGGCAAATGAATCAAATTCAACTTAAACAATAATTACATTATATAAACTGATAAATTATTTGAACTCTGCATAAACAAGTTTCAATTCTAAACAACAGAGCCAAATCAACCTATTAACCAACATTCACCTCTGTATATACTCCTGCAAAACCGCTCAGGAGTGCCATGATCTGCAGGTGAAGAACTCATCGTGAGAAATATTCTAAAGCCATGATTTTATAATTAAGGCTTTTAAAAATATATAACAAGACAAATGTCAACAACTCACAGTTGCCATAACCCAACCTTGAAAGGGAGTTTGAAGAACATGATCAGAACTGAAAAAAATAATGTGATTTCTTAAGATAAAACATGACAAAAAGACACATCATATACATATTTCTAGAGAAAACTAAAAAACAAATATACTGGAAGAAGATTGCTCCAATCAAGCACATTGTTGAATATTCGAATCTTTTATGTGGTTAGGCTTATTGTTAGGTGCTTAAAAGGTAACAAAGGAAATAAGAGGAATGAATTTATTAAAATAATATAAAACAAAAATCGCATTCTATACTTCTCTTGATAGCCATACTTAGGGGAATCTCCAAAGTGTTGAAAACACTATTTTATTGATGATGAGCTCGCTTCTAAGTTGCTAGTCATATTTATAAAGCTTACAATGAAAAATACTAAATGAAATCTAGATAACTAGACAATTAAATAAAAAAAAATCTTAAAATCTATATTTGAACAAAATACTAACTAAAATCTAAATAAAGTCTAAAGAACTAAATGTCTAAATAAAACGTCCTGAAATAATTCCAAATTCAAATCAAATAATAACAATAATAAAACCACACTAAATAAAACTTAATTTATGTTTTGATGCTCCCTTCTTGAATAAGTCTATAATGGAATATTATCATTACCCCCTTGAAAACTCAACTTGTCCCCAAGTTGAAAAGATAGAAACTAAGCTCGCAAGAGGTTGTAGTACTCCCAGCATGCTTCTTCCATAGGTTATCCTTGCCATTGCACCAACAGCTCAAGCGAGTTATGGTGAGTCTAGCAATGATCTAAGATTTGGTCAGGCGCCACATGTAACTCAAAATCAGCAGATCGTAGTAAGGAAATTGGGCTAATGGGTAGATCAATACCATGAGCAAGTCGCAAGAGAGATACATGGAAAATAGGGTGAGTTTGAGCATCCGAAGGAAGTTCCAATTTATAAGCTACCTTCCCAGTATTCCTAAGTATCTTGTAGGGGCCAAAGAAGCGAGGTGACACTTTTTCAAACTTCTTCTTGGTTGGATATCATTGGCGAAAAGGCTGTATTCATAACCAAACAACATCACCCTCAACATAATCAACTTCTTTGATGCTGTCAATGTAAGCCCTCATCATGTCCTTCGCCTTGTGCAAATCATCCTTCAGGAGTTGGAGCATTGCATCCCAAGTCTCTAGCTAGTCATCTAAATCAGCTATACGAGTTTCTCCCATCACATAAGTTAGCAGGGGAGGCAGGTCTCTACTGTACACCAACTTGAATGGAGAAGAATTTGTTGATGTATGATGACTAGTGTTGTTAGAGTATTCAGCCCAACAGAGAAACTTGTGCTACAACTGGAATGTTCATGTGCAAAATATCATAGATAGGCTTCAAGACCGCAGTTAACAACATCTATTTGACCATCTGTTTAGGGATGGTAAGCAATACTTGTCTTTAACTTGGTTTGACTTAGCCGGAATAATTCTTGCTAGACGGAGCTCATGAAGATAAGATGCCTACCAGATACAATTGAGCAAGGCACTCCATGTAGTTGTATAACTTCCTCACAAGAGACTGCTACAACCTTCTAGCAATATAAGGATGTGTGAGAGTAATGGAGTGGGCATACTTATTCAGATGATCCTTTACCACTAATATGACCTCAAAACCACCCTACTTTGGAAGGTTGGTGATGAAATCAAGAGAGATGTCCCCCCAAATCAGAGAGGGTATAGGTAAGGGTTGGAGAAGACCTACTGGTGCCAAGGTTTGATACTTATTCTGTTGACATGTGGCACAAAGTCGCACATATGCCTTCACGTCTGCTTTTATTGTAGGCCAATAAAAGTTCTTTGAAAGCTGCGTAAATGTTTTAAGAAAATCGTCATGCCCACCAATAGCAGATGAGTGAGCTTCCACCAGTAACTTTGGTCTCAATTGTGATGTGTAAGGAATGACCACACATTTATCATAGAAGAGCTTTTAGTCAACCAAGTGGAATTTGGCTGAGATGACAGGTCCCTTTACAAATCCAACATTATCTCAATGGTGAAGGGATTTAGTGTCAACTTAGAGGAGAGGTCATTTGGAAAAAATCTACATGTTGGGGTTATCTTGACAAGGCATCTGCCCCCTTATTATCCGCAACCTTATGGATGATAGTAAAATTAAATGGTAAGAGCTTTGTGATCAACCGTTGTTGAGGATTAGTGGTAATGTGTTGTTGTAGAAGATATTGAAGGCTAGCATGATCTGTCCTCATGAAGAAATGCCTCCTTAGAAGGTGATGGCACCATCTTTGTATTGCAAGAACTAGCACTAGGAGTTCACAATCATAAGCAAACTTGTAGCGGTTAGAAACAAAGAAACCTTTATTGAAGTAGTAATGGGATGATTGTTTTGCGCTAGGATAGCTCCAATCCCTTCCGTTGATGCATCACATTCAATTGTATATTCCTCAAAATTGGACAGTTGTAAGACAAGTACCATCATTAATACAAGCTTAAGCAATTAAAGGCATTCTGAGTTTGTTTAGACCATAAGAAGGCATCCTTCTTAGTCAACTCAATAAGTTGGCATGCAATGATACCAAAATTCTTTACAAAACGCCAGTAATACCCTGCAATGCCCAAGAACCACACAACTCCTTCACATTTTTAGGAATGGCCCATTCCTGTATTGCAAGGCCCTTAGAATCATGCATTGGTGGTCTTGGTGTAGTTGAAAAGAGGAACTATACACCAAGATATCATCAAAAAATACCAATACAAATTTCTTCAAATAAGGACAAAACAAATCGTTCGGAGTAGCATGAAAGTAGCCAAGGCATTAGTCAAGCTAAAAGGCATAACTGTGAAATCATAGTGCTCAAAATGAGTATGAAAGCAGTTTTATGAATATTCTCAGGTAACATTTGAATTTGGAGGTACCTAGAATTGAGATCAAGTTTGGAAAATAGACAGTCCTATGTAATTCATCCAATAACTCATTGTGTTGGGGATTGGATACTTATCTAGGATTGTAATGCTATTCAATTTCTAGTAATCCATGTAGAAACACCATGAACCATCTTTCTTTGTGACCAACAAGATTGTGCTAGCAAATAGACTGGAATTGAGTTGGATGAACCCATTTTAACCCTTTTTTAGCAGTTCTTCTACTTGCTTCTCAATTTTTGCCTTTTGATAATGTGGGTATCTCTATGATTGTAATTTGGGAGGATTGGGCCCTGGTAACAAGGGAATGGCAAGTGAGTGGCTTTTGATGCAGGCAAATTGGTTGGTTCTTCAAAAACAAAGGGAAACTCTTCAATTAGTGGCTCCGGGTTGAAATAATAGAATCAGTCAGAATCAGCAAAAGCATCTACTTGTTGCATTGAATTAAACCAAGTACCTCTAGTGTTATTAGGGACTCCTTAAAGCTTATACCTCTTGCCATTCAACCAAAAAATTATAAAGTTGATTCCAATTGGGTTACACCGTATTGAGAAATACTAGCCACTTAATACCGAGAAATAGATTAGCCCCCTTAGAGTAAAGGGGTAAATGTCTTCCTTAATGGTCAGTCCCATCAGTACAACTTCTCTATATTTTTGCAGATTCAATTACAGTGCACAATACAATTGTCGAATTTGAACTCCAGAGGTAGAGATGGATGGGGTAGGGAGATGAAGTTCTTGGACTAAAGCCTCAAAATAAAATTATGTGTAGAACCACTATCAACTAATAATAATACCTCTTGAGAACATAGCATGCCACAAAGCTTCATTGTTGAACCTATATTGCTACCCAGAATAGCATTAAGTGAGATTTCGACACCTTCAGGTGCTCTCATCCCGCTTTCATCATCTTCCATGGGAGGGATGATTTCTTCACCTTCTTTTGTCACTTCTAGCAATGAGAAAGATGATTTACAGCGATGCCTAGGTCTGAAGATTTCACCACAACAAAAGCATAAACCCTTGTCTCTCCTTTGCTATTTAGCATCCATGGGAGTTGGTCCAAATGAATCTTGCTGCTCTGAACGTAGAAGAGGACAATGCAAATGATGCTCTGTACATGTTAGAAGATGCGTTTGAAGGAGGTTTTGATGAGCATTTCTAGTCACGTGCAATAAAGGGAGATGGGTTAGTTTATTGGGCCTGGGTTTGGAATGGATTGGGCTCGGGCTCATTTAGATGCACCTTGTTTTCAATTGCTAGGGCTAGACTCACAGCTCCGTAGATTGATTAGGGCTTGTGCATGTGAATGTCGGAGCATAACTCTTCCCTCAACCCATTTAGAAAAACACCAAACAAGCAGTGCTCCAGCCAATTCTCCACTTGTGTTGAGCATTTTTGCACAGTATTCCTACAATAAACCCTCCTATTTGATGCTACATAGGAACTTATCCAGATTTTGATATTCTGGGGGTCCAAAATTCTCCTAAAACACTATAACAAGTTCATCCCAATAGTGAAGCATTTCCTCATGGTTGATCCAAGTGAAGAAATTGAGCGGGTCGCCTTCCAACAACATTGATGAAATTTTTTAAAATTTCCCCTCCCTTCCTCCCAACCAAACAGGCCCTAAAGGGTTGAAAAGACTATTTTATTGATAATATGCTAGCTTTTGAGGCTTTAGTCATATTTATAAAGCCAAATACAATGGAAAAATACTACATGAAATCTAGAAATCTAGATAATTAAATAAAAAATGAATAAAACATCCTAAAATCTATAACTGAACAAAATACTAACTAAAAGCTGAATAAAATCTAAATAAAGTCTAAAGAACTAGATATCTAAATAAAACATCCTAAGATGATTCCAAATTCAAATCAAATAATAACAACAATAAAATCAAACTTGATTTATTTTCTAGCACTTCCTTCTTGAATAAGTCTTTAATGGAACCTTATTTGGAATCTTATCACTTACTCTATTATCAGCTTGCCCTTCATAATTCACTAAATTTTGCACATTGGTTAGTCATGAACATGTGATTTACATGCATATCAGATTATCGGAGGGGAACATCTTTACAAAAAGCACAACTGCACAAGGATGAATTAAGGTTAATAAAATAAATGTGTCATGGCTGAATGCCACAGTTAAATAGCTCTTACTTTGTATTCAACTGAGCAGTGGTGCACCCAGCACACAGCAGAATAAAAGCAGCCCACTGAATCTCACTTAACCTGAAATATAAAATTAGATCAGAACACACAACAGCCTCAGTACCCATGACCTTTTATATAAGTATGATTTATATTATATATTATATTATTCTGCCAGTTAGCCTTGTAGGGATTTAGTCTCAGGAAGAAAGAATGATTGTAATAGTTATGTTCTCATATCACCTAAAATGCAGGAGAAAGAAAGACTGCAATAGTTGCACTCCATTGATCCTTCACCAACAGTTTCCACAAAGAAAGGGCAACCAAAAACTCATTAACGAAAGACTTACCTTTTCTTAAGAATAATCCTATAGAGGATGCCAGTACTGATAATATTTAAATTCTTCAATATTTGATAACCAGGAGCATCTACATATGCAAAGATGTAATACTGCCATAAAATTGATAAACAAATCAGATTTGAGAATGCAACAAAAATTCTATAGAAAATACACAGCATTGAAGAATACACTGTCGCCACAAATATAACAAACCTGAAGCAAATTTTTAACTAGGTAAAGGGCTGCTGGAATGGGATACACTATAACTTCATCCAAGGTTGTAGTCAACCTAGGTTGAAGGCACCATGAGAAAAACACAGATTCAATAAAAGGTGAAGTGACAAAAGCCAAAACACAAGAGGAGAAATTAACTCATTACAAAAGGAAAGATTTAGGCCCTAAACCTGGGTGGTTAGATAGCCAACACTTCATGGATAAGACTGCTTTATAAATTCTCATTTCTCACCCCTTCCAAACTTTATTTATTTTTTTAAAAAAAGAGATCCACTATCATATCAGACCACCCAGAGGAACTTGTATATTAAAAAAATAAAGCAGTGGCAAATACTGATACACACAAATTCAGATTGCATGATATCATCTAAAAGAACGAGTTTCTAACAGTTAACAGAGAAGTAATAGCAAATACAGTATAAAATCCACGGATATGATTTCTTAGCCCCAAAAGTTACCTCAAAAGATCATATTCATTAATTCCCTTGTGCTGCTTCTTCATTGTAAGTAGCAGTAACAGTGAGTCAAAAATCAAGTTCACAAGGTGGACAACTAAAATATTATACTCCCAACTATGTCAATAAATTTTGTTTGCAAATTTGCAAGGCTTTGCACAGAGAGAGAGAGAGAGAGAGAGAGAGAGAGAGATTTAAAATGCTGCCACTCTATCCCCAGCCAAGCACCTCATGAATGAATTGTAAGCTAGAACATACAAGGAAATCTGAACAATAAAAACAGAGGTCACCTGTTATCCTCTGTAACACCTTCTGTTGTCCATATTTTTCCCAAGGCTATGAGGGATATAGCACATTTCAAAGTCTCCACCTATGAGGAAAGAATAATTATGCTGGTCTTTGATATAAATGAAATAAAGCAGATTTATTCTAAGATATTAGCAAAGTTTATGAAATGGAAATATCATTCAAATATTGTCCGATTTCCTCACCAAAAAGTTCGCAGTAGTCACACTATACTCATATTTGCCAGCTCTTTTGGACCAAACAATAAGGATGGCTTGTGAACTTGTAAGAACAGTCAATGCAAGAGTAACGACTGACCTATTTTGACAGGGGCAACGGGGTAAGAAATCAACTAGCAATTTTATTTGTCCTCTAAAGATGGCCATATGAACAGGAGTTATAAGAGAAAACCCAAGGTCGTACTTGCGCTTCCACTTTGATCTGTCAAGTCTGGATTCTCCAATAGTGGCAAAATTATCTAGCATTGTAGACAGAAGACAAAAGCTCACCGAAAAGGCTAACAGAAGATAGATCTTAACACAACCGGAAGCAGCATTATCACCGTCTAGTCTAGGTTAACGAGCGAACGAGGAGATGAATGTAAATCAAACACCTGACAGCAAAATAGGTTTTCCGCGTAAATTCTCAACATCTTCAACTCCCGCATCTCTATCTTCATCCTACGACAAGTTTTACGGAAGTACAAATAAATTCAGAATTCAGAACCCAGAAATGCATAGAGAAACAACACGGAATTGATTCATCCGAAAGAAATACTAAAGTTATTTCCACATTAACGAATAAAGCTGAGCACTAAGTGCAAGAACTTAAAGCTCAAATTGTAGTAGGAAAAGGAAGCATGTGGATAAGCTTCAAAAATTACTGAAAATGCAAGGCAGGACAGGTAATACCTCTCCTTTGATTTTTCTGTACTCCATCTCTTTTCTAGTTTACCTTCGATAATATGGAGATCTTCGGTTATACCTAAGAAAAAGAGTCTATCGTTTGACGATTTCTTGAGTTGCCAGATCGAAGGGGAGTCGTCTGTTCTCCCTGGATCCGTTCGCCCCGTCACGAATAACCCCGTCTGTCCTCGCTCTTTTTCATTTTCGTTGGTCCGTCTATGCTTTGGTCCCCACCCTAACGACGTTAATTATTCTGACATGTACATTAACTCAGTTAATTGTGCTGATATATATTTTCTGTAGGGGGGGGGGGGGGAAAAGCTGATTTGTATTTGTTTGATAATCAGATCCCGTCTACATGTGTGTTGCACAAACAAAAAATAAATAAGAAACAAGTAGGACCAAGAATCATCTAGAGCCCCACAAGTACAATCGAGAAGATTGAGTCGAGCGTCTTCTCATTTACGGTAGAGGAGAACTTGAATTCAAAACTTGCGACAAGTCTTGAAAAAACACGATTTGAATAGAAGAGAAGAAGATTTAAATAAAACAGGCATCGAAAATATATAGATATATTAGTTAATCTAAAATTTTGAATTTTCTCAATATATTTTTTCTTTGGAAAGTTGAGGGGAAATTGCTGGCAACATAGGTGGTTTTCAAAACAAGTCAAAAATTAGAATTGTTTACCAAAATATCATTGGGAGAAATGAAAGAGAAATAAATGGGGAAATGGAAGAGAATAGAGGGAAAATAAAGACTAAGGAAACAACCTAAGAAAGCTTAATAGGGAACATACTTAACTATAATAAAGTCATAAAATTAAATTGCTAAAATATCATATAAATGTTTTACAAATTTCCACCATTAGTTATCAAATCTTTCAAAATAGAACCACACCTATTGCAGCGGAAAAAATTATCATGACCACCAATTCTGTTTCCAATAAAATTAACATAAGTGAGATAGTAATGGAAAATAGAAATCTAACTCAAACATACCAAAGTAGACACCTGTGTTAGATGTGCTAAGTTACTATACAGGTATAAAAGAATTGTAAAACTTGATAAGTGCTTAATCCAACTCAAAGTTATATTAAAAATAATTCTAGAAAGGTTATAAGGTTAACACAATCATAAAACGTGAAAGGAATTGATATAGAATGAATTTCGAAGAGAATGAACTCAAACACAAGGAACGGAGCATAACAATTAATGTTTACACTAGAATAAGTGAGTTTATACCAGAATAATTGAGATTATATGGATAAGAGATCGTTTGTACCGGTATAACAAAGTTTTCTACTGGTAAAGACAAGGTTGAACTCAAAAAATGAAGGTTTGTACCAATATAAAGAAGTTTGTACCAAAATAAGGAAGACTTATATAGCTATAAACGTTTATATTGGTATAAACATTTAGAAAGTATGGGTCAACTTCTAGCGGTCACAACTCCTTCTTTTAACTCTAAATTAGGCAAATGACCTATGATTGGAAAGTCTTGAATGTCTAGTTTCCAATGAAAAAAAACTCACTCAAAAATTCAAAGTATATAATAGGATATGATCAAAATGCTAAGCAAAAGTTAGTAGCATTTTTATAAGGTACTAGAAACTTCAACAGCCAGCTTTAAAAATATATCTATTTCATATTCATTTTGAATGAGATTAATTTCTTTGGAAAGATGTACAAGTTTATTTTTAAATGAAAGAAGTTTCACATTCAGTGGATTTATATATTAAGAGATATATATAAAATACTGAATAAAGGTTAAAACTGTATATATCTAAAACTCTTAATTCAAAACGTAAACTTCAACTATTAAACACAAAATTCCACTAATCAAATTGTATATCTCTAACAATGAGTTGAAACTCCAAGAACTTAATCATTATAACAACAACATACTGAAAGTAAAATTACAATTTTGCCATTAAGCAATTTTGCCATCTAAGTCAAATTCTATGTACAAAACATGTACTAAAATACCATCTAAGTCAAATCTCATGTATAAAACATGTACCCCAAAATACCATCCAAGTCAAATCCCATGTACAAAACATGTACCCAAAAAATTCCATATTTGTATAACTACAACAAGTTCACATCTCAATCAAGGTTGACTACTATCAAGAAGAGTTGCATTAATGGACTCTTATGTGCAAAATGCTTGCCTCTTTGTACTTTTGATAGGTATCTTAACAGGCCTCTTTCTTTTTACAGGTTGCTTGTTGGGATCCTTGGAAATCTTTCAATTATGTCTATACTTCCCACAATTTAAACACTTAAGGCTTGTATTTTCTCTCCTCATCTTTGTTAATGTTGCATCCTTATCTACCCCTCCTTTTCATTTCTTTTTTGGCTGGCCAGGACGCTTGCAGTATACTAGGGGATTAAGAAGGTCTCCATTAGCTTTTTGCCACATATTGTCTCCATTGATAGGCTCTATGATAGGAGAGTAACAAACAACAAAAGCTTGCAAACTTAAGTAATAATCCACATAAGAATGCAGATCCTCCCTTTTGTTACATATACAAGTAGCTCCATGTCTACATCACAAGTATTAATGAAAGTTAAAATGGATTTCATGCTGAAAAAAATGATACCACTAAGCCATATTTTTGTACTTATGAAGTACTGGAAGCAGTGACTTTTTGCAAAATTACTATGTCAATCCCTGAATCAACAAAGCCTTCACTCCAAATTAGTATAGCTCATACATTTTTTCTACTATATATGTGATTCAAAAACAAAATTCTCAAATAGAATAGATCTATGGCTATGTATTGGTTGTACTTTCAAGTATAACTCATTTATGATAAACTTATGCATAATTTCAATGTGTTTACATAGCATATCCCTCATAGTAGTAAGCCATTATTTTTGTATTTAATCTGTTTGAAAATCGTGGAACTAAGTATGCTATACAAGCAACAGGTAAAGGAACAGAAGTCTATACAAATATACTATAATTTATAGAATGCACTAAAGAACATATATAATGACAAATCCAATAGTGAACTAGAAAAGCTAACAACATGTCTGCAAAGTTTGTTGAAATTACTTGTAAAGAATGCCATTCAATTGCCACTAATTGCAACTATGCCTTTTATTAGTTAGATCGACCGTAAACTTTTGTGAGAGCTATGAAACCTCATATCGATTATTTCCTTCATATCTAACCATCTACATCCTTGATTCTTGTACTTCTTTATCTAACCTTTGGGTCTTGGACACATAGTGCACTTGTCTCGATACTTGTCAACCTTTACACGATTTTCAACAAATCGTGTCATGAGGTATGTTCGAATCCAATCAAGCATATTACAATTGGAAGTTCTCTTACCTCCAACAATTTCTCATTAAAGGACTTTGAAATATTATTGATGATTGCATCACATTTACAATATTCTCCAAAATGACACTTGGTCCAATAATAGGAGGAAATCTTATCAAATGATTATGGGCTTCCTTTGAAACTAATCTCAACTAATCCATACATTGTTTCCATTCTCCCTCATATGTGGCTTTTGTAGCACGAAGGATTAAGTCACAAACTATGGTGCCTCCTCCATATTTTTGCCTTAATGCTCACATACAAATGCTGTACACAAAAGCTGTCACACCCCAAACTCTTGAAGTGTGATCAACTGGAATATGAGAAAACTCATATTCCATAAGCCTAATTCCTTAATACATCTATCAAATTAATTGTAATTTGTTGTATAATTCTCATTTATATTAAATAATTATTAGTAAATGTAAGATATTTGAACTAATTGTAGAAATTTCGGCAGAGTCTCCACTGTAATTTGGACTTTTCGAAATTTCTACAACCTGCCAAAAACATATCCAAGCAACACTCGGAGTTCTACTCCGATACAATATATACAAACCCAAAATAATTTAACTGAGGATCCTGCCTATATAATTCGTGGAGCGATTCTAGAACAAAAAGACAGAATATTTAGATATTTACACTCGTCCACTATGTAATTGAAGCAACAAAATATCCCTCGTCTCAATATGTCCCACAAGATCTACTAAAGAGAAGGTCCACTCCCACTATCTGAATACCAAAATTTTTCCAGTAAATAACGTTCCTAGATAATAAACAAGTAAATAAATAATAATAATTAAGTAATAAAAGAGAAAGGAGGAAAGATAATCGTGATCAATAAATTAAAATTTTATCTTTTATGTGAAACAAATCATAACGATACAGTTCTTAAAAGTAAACAAGTTAGAAAATTGGTTTTCTGTTAGGACTCAGACAGAACAAATAACAGGTGTGGACACACAGTCCACGAGGGTAAGTAACATCCGGCGTGGTTAGAAACCACGAAAAAAACAGGCGCTAGCATAAAGCTCACGAATAACAGGCGTGGATTATATCCACGAAATTATATCCTCCATTCCACGTGTGTTGGCCGACACACGGGGCTAGCATCTCCCATATACCCTGCTAGCTGGGTGTGCCACGGCGCGCCAAGGGCTAACGAAACTGTCGTTAGCAACCAGCGTTCTATATTCAGTCATATAAAACATTTCTGGCATACATGGAAGGAAAATATATTTATAGCTCAATTTGTTCACAATTTATTAATGCCTACTAGATCTTCCCATTGGTAGATTGTTCAATCCATGCACGAATAATGTGTTTTGGAAAACAAATAACCAAATGAAAATATAAGCTAATAGATTTAAATCCTATGAAACCAGGTACATTCTTCAATGCAAACATTTCAAGGCTCCATAATATATATGTATAAACATAAAATTTCCTCGAGAAAAGTTCTATTTATTTATTCAGACAAAAATCATCCTCATTTAGACGTATAGGGAACGTTATTTACTTACCTAATATACCACCTAATTCCAAAAATCTCCTTCTTTTTACGGCTGCAATCAAGTTTTCCCTTCTTCTAGTGACCCTATTAAACATGATAGAATTTTAATAAATTTGCTACCAGATGAACAAACTCTCTTACTCTAATAGAAAAATCACAATTAACTTAAATAAATCAAAGTTTGCCCTTCATCACTATTTAAATCTCTTTACTTTCTTAGATCATTTTCCCTAATAGTTATCAACACAATTATAATACTTCACAATTCCAATTCCCATTAGATGTCAATTCTAATTTAGGAAATAAATTTCCAAAAATTCAGATATTCGCATATTACTTCCAAAATCAGACCTTCTTTGCAACCTTTTCTAATAAACCTTTCAACAACCATCTTATAAGTACCGATATTCAAGATTTATA